TTAGTATATATATATATATATATATATATAAACATATTTTTAAGGATAACTTGACTTTTTTTAGTTTGATGATGAATTAGAATAATTTTTAGGAAGAGGAAGTAGTTGAAGAGGATGGTGAGGGGAGGGGGAGAGCAATAGAGGAAGGAAAAAGAATAAGAAAGACGAGAGGTGGATAAGGGCGAGAGAGTGAGGGAGGAGAAAAAAAGTAAGTAAAGAAAGAGGAGGCAGTGGAGTGAGAGGAAAGGCCAAAAATAGAGATGGAGGTGGAATTTGAAGAGGGGTGAGGGAGAGGAGGACGAGAAAGTGAGAGAAGCCAAGAGAGAGGTGAAGGAGGAAGTGCAGGAAAAAGAGAAGGAGACGACAGAGTGGGAGGAGAAGGTAGAGATAGAGTGGGACAAGGAAAAAAGGGAGAGGAGTAAGTTAAAAGGGAAGGATGAGGAGGTGACTGACTTAGTGGGAAAAGGAGATGGAGATGGTGGAGGAGGTGACTGACTTAGTGGGAAAAGGGAGGGGTAATTTAAAAAAATAAAAAAGTAATATAGGATTTAATTAAATTAAATCGAATGGTTAGGGTTTAGTTGAATTCATATAAAAAATATCAGTTTAATCTTAAAAAATGAGTTAAACTTAGTCAAACCATAATCACTGTCTTTTTATAATTTTATTATGGATATTTTGATAAAGAAATATAATGATGTCATATCATAAAATCTTATTACTAAATTATTTTCGACAATAATAATAATAATTATTATTATTATCATAATCATCATCATTTACATAATAATATCGCGTTAGAGAAGAAGACGGTTATTGATTGACTATGATTTTTTTTTTATTGTGTACATAATAGATGGTATAAAATAAAATTACAGACGGGTACTATAATTCTCTTAGTTCTAGAAAAGATAATTGCATGTGTATACATGCATCTAATAGATGCAAACATATGTGTTTCTTTTTCCTAATAATTGCCTCTTTCTTATGCATGCCTGCATTGGCTTCATAAGGCATATACAATGTTCAGGCACTAGTGGGGGCTTTCACAGGATGGATGTACTATTACTGCTTTTGCTTTTCATAAAACATGCAACCATGAGAGAACTTCAATCAAAATTTGCAATATGATCGTATCGATCAAAAGTCTATAGACAGTAAACAAAGTATATATACACAAAAGTTGGATTCAATCCGACATAAGTGCTACATCATTATCTATATTCTAACATGTTATTCTGAGATCACCTATGGCTTAGTTTCGTCGACTGAGAAGCCCATTCTTCACAGGCACCAATTGGCCCTTCATGCCGTCGAAGGCGCTCGTGCTCTTTCCGGCGGCGCCACCACCAATAGCAGCCATCCTCTCGCAGGACGGGCATATGGTCAGCGTCGCTGCCTTGAGAAGGTGCATGTAGAATGGGGATCCAGGATTTGCAGACCTCAGCTCCTGCAGCTCCTTCTTCAGCCTCCGGTTCTCATCACTTAGGCTCTCACACCACTTCTTGAGGCATTCATAGTCCACCTCAATCTTCTTTAGCTTCGTCCTGCATGCATACAGTCCAGACCCTGATACGCTACAAACTTAATTGATGCAAAGGTATCTCACAATCCGTAACATTTGAACCAGACATGGGTTTGTATTACCTTGCTCTTCTGTTCTGGAACCAGACTTCCACCTGTCTTGTTTGTATATTTAGCCGGTCAGCGAGATCTTGCTTCTGAGCCTGCATGCAGATGGAATCCATACATAGTTCTTCCCAGAAAACAAACTCCGATCGATTGCAATCATGTAAGAGATAGTACTGAGGAGATACCGTATTAAGGGTGTTGTGCTCTCTAAATCTGTCTTCCAGCAATGTTACTTGTTCTTTTGTGAGCTTAAGCTTCTTTCTTGTGCCAAACAGTTTGTCATTGCTGCAGTTACTGGTGTCTCTACCACTGATAACTTCCTCCTCTTCGGTGTTCTTCGATCTCGGTATCCTTATTGGTTCTTCTTCCTCCTCTTCTTTCGGATGATGTGGGAACAGGACCTGCAAATGAAGGGTAGGCTTGGATCGGTGGCCAGGCATGAATTGTCGACCACCATCTATTGCAAGGGAGAGGTTAGTATTGCATTCCTCTTCTGCCATCCCAATCTATGTTTGTTCCAAAGTAGACAATGAGGAAGGTTTTATAGGGAGAAGGAAATAATGAAAGGAAAGGGAAGTTTTTTCTACCAGTGATTTAATGAGGGGTAGTATATGCGTTTGCATGAGGCACTGAAAGCTTTTGTAAGAGTGTGATATTTGCTTGGACAATTGGAATCAATGTTCAATAACTCATTTAAGTCAACACATTAAATTTCCTGGCACTTTCCTGGGAATCCATCTTCCCGTGAGGAATTGGTGCTATTGGTGCCATCATATCATCCCCACTCAAGTACTCGTTTGGTTGTGACTCTTGCAAGCTTAATTTGATATGCAAAGCATTATTTAGTTTGCTGTTACTTGTATAGCTAAAGTCCTCATTTTTCTGAGTACTTTTGCATCTCCTCATGGTGATGCCAGAGAAGACTAGCCATTTCAAGCTATCAAACACATGATTGCCACCAATTTTAGTTCATCCATGCACCCCAGGCATTGGCAAAATGATCCCATGCTGGGGTCCAAACCCTGCTATCCTAACTCCCAAGCAAGAACTACCCCTTGTCCTTGCTCATGATTCATGAGCCAAAGGCATGTTTGCCACAATCATAACATATGTGTACCAGTCTTGAGATGGACTGTGGTCCCTTGAGGAGCTTAATTAGCTCTTTAATTATTGTATTAATGTCTTCTTCAATCGCATTAGTTATAGCAATAATGAGCATTTACCAACTGAAGCTTCTGAAATTAGTGCAGTGTTGGGAAGGGAAGAACTGATGTGGGAATTGGGTCTTGGAGAAATGGAGCATGTTTTGGGTCTAAATGTTGAAGGTTGACCAAGGTTGTCAACACCAAACCTCAGTCACAAACCCTGTTGACTTCAAAGTAGGGGGGGATGGGATGAGAAATGTCATGGCTTTTTGGAACTTGGGAGACAAGTCATGCCTTTTGACTGGAATGATGAATACTAATGCCTGGAAGAAATGAAGAGTCAGAAGAAGTATGATGGCTGTTTCCAAGATTTTTAATCTTACTTGTGTGTCAAGTCATGTGAAGATGGATCACCATTTTCCTTCTGCCTCTACATGGATGCCTGTAGCAGATGATTTGTTCATGTTGACAATGGAGATTGATACCATACTCTTTCGCCAGTCAGTTAACTTGCGACCATCTTAACAATCGATTCAATGGAAATAAATTTTTTATAATGTTACATACATCAATCTTTCCTAAAATATATATAAAAGAGTCTCATTGAATTCATTCTGTCACGATTGAATCTGATAGAACGATCATGATAGGAGAATAATGAGAATAATGGAGATGAAAGCATACTGGCGAAGGCAATATCTTTGGATATTCAGCTTAAATCAAATTTTCTTATAATGACAAATCAGAAAGTCTCACGTTTTTTAAAGTGATTTTCTTGTTCTTCACTTCAGCAAAAGAAAAAGATAAACATATTACCTTCAAATAATTAAAACTGAGCTAACCTGTTGTTGAAATCTTTTAGCTCTCACATTTCCATTTCACTCGACATGCATGACAAAAGGGAAGAAAGAATAATAATGGAACAGCAGAATCCTATGTACACTGGGAATTACCAGAGTAAAAAGTAACCCAGTATTGTTCTCTCTTCCTCTTGGGATTCTCTTCTTGTACTTCTCCAGGGGAATAATTTCCCATATTGCTGATGGTGGACTAGAAGAATGTCTCTTTCAGAATTGGTCATCCCGAACGAAGACAAACTGCTGATAACACCTTCACAAGAGAGTGTTCCCTTCTTCGTTTATTCTTCTCTCGGTGTGGGGAAGCATAAGCTTCATGTCTGCTTGTTGGATTGAGAACCTAAGAGGGTTTGAGCTCACTGGTGTTTCTACAATTTTGTCTAAGTCAGAACGATGAGTCACCACCACTAAAGAAAAAGCTGGGAATAGGAATGAGTTGAGATGAAGAGCTTGCTTACCATGTGCTGACCCCTTCAATCATTGATGTCAACACCTTTATGCAACACACTAACACATTGAACCTCAGATCTATGAAGAACAATGATGAGAGTAGCATTTCAGATTGGAATTCTGCAGGAGTTGAATCATTGATTAAGAGGTGTGCTTTTCTACTGGACATACATCCACACCATGCTCACATGATAAGAGACATCTGAGGTTATTTTAATTGGGTTTTGAAGAGTGCACTCATGGTGGTCATACACCATATTTCACTGTAGACTCTTTCAGTTGGCATATGCACCTTAATTCAGATTAAGAGCATGATTGAATTGACATGGTTGATTAGTTTAAGGTGTTGGGTGCTGTTAACTGGGAGAACATATGTTGCTCCAAAAGCTCTTGTTACCAAAAATTCTTCTGATTGGAAGCCATATTATTCCTCCACAAACTCTTTTAATTGGAAGAGCCCAATGTTTAGGAAACTAGAGAGAGATTCACTACTTTACTTGCTTATAGGACAGAAAGCTAAAGTAATTTTGCAGTGAAAGCCTACACATGTGGACGGAACTGCAGATTTCTTTGGGAAGGGAAGAAAAAGAGGAAGACACAGTTTGCATGCTTTCCATCAGTACCAGTAGATCACTGAAAGCCTAAAAGAGAGGAAATAAATAGGTTTCTATATGGATTAAATCCCTGATCTGAGGGTACTCATCTTTGCTCTCGTGTCTAATCCTTGAGATAATTCTAAGAGGAAAAAAAAGCAAGAAAACAAGTTTGAATCTAACATTAATATGCTCTATTTGGATCAAGTACATGAGAGAATTTACATTGACCAAGAGGAAGAAGAACTTCACCAATCCACATAGAAGACTGATGAATTCTCTTGGAACAATGGCTTAGCATCAGTCCTTGGAGAAGTCTACTTATCTTGATGCAAAGAACTAACCATTATTATTCTCAGACAAAGGAAGAAGATAAGAGAAGAGAGAAGAAGGAAGCTGTTTTCTTGGTCTTGGGGACACAAAGAAATTACAAGGATAAGATCAACCCACTCGAATTCTTTTGTTTGGTAGGCGTGAGAGGGGGACGAAGACCGACGCGAGGTCGCTTGGGACCGGGTAGTAACCCTTCGGGGGCGGGCCGAGCTTCCTCTTGGCCGGCCGAGGCTTCCTCGGGGCTGGCGGGCACACCATTGCCGGCTTCGGTTCAAGCTCTTCCGACTTGGGTGTACTGCACTCCACCTCTCCTTCGCTACCAGACTCGGAGGGGCCTTCTGCAACCGGCTTGTCGCCCGTCCCGGTCGTCCGCACAACCGGAAGTGGTGGAAATTCACGGACGTCGACGAGCTCTAAGCCCATAGTTGGGGGTTCTTTCTGGAAACGAGGAAGGAAGGCCCTCCCAAAAGAGGTTTAAGGAGGTGGTGGTGGTGGCGGTATGAAGAGGTAGGCCACTAGGGGGGCTGAGGAGGAGGAGGAAGAGGAGGATAGCAGGCGTGGAGACACCCGAGATGGTGGTGATGATGAGGCTTCGGCAAGACGGTAAAAGAAGAGAACAGAATTATGTGGTTAGATGGTGCAAAGGAGTTAAAATAGTCTTTGAAGTTAGAGAGAGAGAGAGAGAGAGAGAGAGAGAGAGAGAGAGAGAGAGAGAGAGAGAGAGAGAGAGAGAGAGAGAGA